AGGTCACATTATCAGGGCTCCAAGAGGTGATTGGGATCAGATGTCACTACCAGGTTAGGGTTAGGGTAAGTGTTAGAGGTCATGTTGCAGAGGCTCTAAGAGGTGGTCAAGGCTGTAGTTGGAAGCGGAGTTAGTGGTCATTGGTTAGGGCTAGTGTTGGACATCACAGATGCCTGTCTCCTCCTGTGGGATGTCTGTGTCACCTCCCTTGCCAGCAGGGAGGCTGCCACAGGTAGCCCTCAGCCTGGACCTCCAGAACCATGGGCCAAATCAACCAGCCTCTTTTCTCCACAAAGCATCTGGCCTCAGTTGCCTCATCACAGTGATGATGTGGACTGAACCCATGGTGAGCAGACTCATGGTCTGTACTCTAGAGCTGAGTGTGAGGGTCATGTGTGTGCACGTACGCATGTAGGTGATTAGTGGAAACAGACTCCAAGCCCTAAGAAACACCTGGATTGCATCCTACAAGACAACCCAGAAGCCACTGTGCCTGACAGCAAGGTGGGTGACAGGGATGGCCTCTTCCAGGAGAAGGCTGGGAGGCCCAGGCTGTAGTGACTGCCAGGACAGGGGGGAAAAGGCACTTGGCAGAAGGAGCAGAGTGCACTGGCCCTGCCTGACCATGCTTCAGTGTCCCTAGGCACAGCCATAGCTCCTGCAGGCTGAAGCAGTGAGGACCACTGTGACCAGGCCAGGCACAGGGCCAGGAGCACCTTCAGTGCTGTCCAATAGCAGCATGCAAAGCTGGCAGGGCCACTGGGTCATGAGCCCTGTCGCCAACCTCTGCACCAGTTAGCTGTCTTCCAAGGGCAACCCACCTGACTAAACCGAGTGCCCACTAGGAGGGTCACAGTAGCCGGGCAGGGCAGGGTGGGGCCTCGGAGGCATGGCCACTTCACCCAGGACAGCCACACCCCTGTGCCTCCTCCCTGCTTAGACCAGGCCTGTGCCTGGCTCCTGCCAGACACACCTACCCCTTGACCCTAGCTGCTGCCCAGCAGACCCAGTGCGAGGCCACAGCAGAAAAGCGCTGGGGTCCCGGGTCTTGGGTCGGCTCCCTTCACCACCCCACGAGCCTCTCCAGTCTTCTGAGTTTGGCTGGGCATGTGGCTCTCCTTCAGTGTCACTCCCCTTCACTTTCAGCACGGTTTGGCCCCAGACCAAACAGGAGGTTTTTGCAGCTCTTTCTGTGCTCCTAAAGCCGGGCTCCAGGAGAGACGTGGTGTAGCTCCTCCTGGCCGCTAGATGGCACTGACGGGTCGCTCCATGCCCGCTGGGGCCTCAGGAAGCGTTCAGTGCAGACCCACCTCCTTCTGCCCTGAGCCCGAGGAAACAGTCAGCTGGGCCGGAGACATGGGCAGCGGGTGAGCTGGGATCAGGCAAATCTGAACTTGGAGGTGCCAACCAGGGCCCCTCAATGTGCTCCCTGGGTCTCTGTGAGGCCCTGGGTGCTGGGGAAGCTGGACTGGCGTGGAGCCCCTCTGAAACGGAGTGGAGGTCCGCACTGGCATCCACACCTCCCAGGCACAGGGCGTGCTCCGTGAGCAAGGCCTGTCCCTGGCGGCCCCAAGGCTCTTCCCCACCAAGAGACCGGGGCTACCTTTGGGGGTCCCTTGCCATGTGACCTCTGGCGAGGCACTTCCTGTCTCGGTTCCTCTGCTCGGCCCTGACCAGCCTGAGATGCTGAGAGCATCGTGGAAAATAAGGGCTTGGGAATCGGACAGGCTTGGGTGTGAGCCCTGCTCTCAGTCCCATTCCCAGCTGCGTGACCCTGGGTCTCTCTGGAAATCTCATTACCCGTGCAGGCGCTTGTTCTGAGTCTCTCCTTGACTCCACGGCGAACTCTGCAAGGGCTGAGCTTGTATCTGTGTGGCTCACAGGCTCGGGGCAGCTCCGTGGCAGCACGG